CCCCTTCACACTTCTTAGTCCAATATCTTTGAAATGTCCTTACCATTTGAACTCCTTGAAGATAATTTTTCTTGACTTTTATCGAGAGTATTCTTAGGTAACTTCAATTATCTAAGATGTAATTAACTATAGGGGCTTGCCCTTATAGGAAGCTTTTCCCGAACCCAGCATAATATAAACCTTATTTAATTCCTTATATTAAATAGGGGAACTTGTAGGCCAATACATTGGTTTCGCAGACCAAACGGATGTCATAACTTTCTTTAGTTTATTTGATCGAACCTCACTCTCAATTCTTGCGTTCATCCTTCGGGATAGATACATGATTTGAGATAAAGTGCTCTTTCATCTAAACTATGAAAATTATGGGGTCAGTTTGACTTCATCTTTTTCAAAACTAAATTTTAAAAAAAAAACGTCCTTCCGAAGCGGGCAACGGGATTTCAATTCCGATGACCGACAACTTCTTACGGGCAAACCCCACACCAAAAATAGTGCCGACAGGTACGTAGAAAATGGTCAAAGAAAATTTTTAGCAACACAATTTCCAACACATTGCCCGCATTCACCCCATTCATCGCATCACAAAACATTCATACATTACCATCTATATTATCAAAGCAATAAGAAATTCCTATTACAAACTTCATTCAGAAGACTGAGAGAATGAATAAAAACTAATTTAAATAATAGCATAATAACTAATATTTGTCAGCAATAAAAATTTCAAATCAAATTTCATTATTTTTAATTGCAACAAACAATTAGTGAGACATATTCTATAAATGTTTTTATAAGATGTTTATCAGTAAGGCATAAGTTCTTATAAAATGCTTCCATCACAAACTCCCTCTAGCTATCCCAAATTCAAATCTAAATTTCATAAAATACTGACCTCTGGCATCAACTGTTTTATCTTCTTGAACATAGCTAAAACATCGAAAAAATTATTAGGGACATTTACAAGCATAACACACAATTGGTATGTATTTAAATCTGTAGCTCCTAAACTTTGCTTTTTTATATTTATGCCGCCCAAATCATTACTATCACATCAAAAATACCAATATTTTAATTTCTAAAAAGTGAAATACATCTTATTATGCATTAGTAAAATGGTATATATGTAAGAAAAAGAAGTTAGATGTTAGATACATAAATACATAGGAATTGAGTGGTTTGTATGTAAATCTTCCAAATATTATCATAAAGGATCATATCATATTCCGCCCATAATATAGCAAAACCTTGAAAAATATTCCTAAAATGATTTTCTTCTCTTGAATATACTCACTAATCAAAATCCCACGTTGTTCTTCCGTGCATCATGCCAATGCAAATATAAGTTTTCGAAAGAACTTTCACATATACATTGCAAAAGGTTGCTTGTTGATTGTTATTCAGTCTGGAAAACTGGTTCACCTAGTTGGGCTATTCATCAAAATGACCATTTAAATCTTGAAAAAAAAATCAAAATATAGTGCACCTATCAATAAAACATCTAAAGCCATGAACAATTTCCATAATTTTTTTCGTAACTCTCCTATTGAATTAGCTGTTGTAATCTATTTTCCTTGTGGGGCAGCATAATCAAAACCAGCCAAGCAAACTACCAGACTTAGAACAACAATATAAAGTGTATACAAATCATTCAAAGTGAATACCAATAAACCTAAACTAAAGATTAAATAGCAGTTGGAACCTTCTGAAACAAAACATTGATGACGAATCTAAAAGTCAAATTCAAAGCCAGATCTATGACCTTGCTTAGAACCACCTGTTTCACCCACATTAATACAAAAAAATTTCCATTTTAATCACAACATCATGTAGATAAAAAATTTCAATCGAACTATATTGTTTTAGCTTTTCAATGTCCAATAAACTTAAACAAATTTTAGTTATGAAATGATATTACTACGAATACCCTCTTCATTTATAAATTTAACTGGCTTCACCAAAGGTCTTTTGAAAGTATTGAATAATAAGATTGTTCTCTAAACCTAAGGTCAGAAAAATGCATCTCTTCAAGAAAAAGGCCTTGATATTTCGCTTTCATAGATTCCCGGCGAGACAGACATAGGAGCACGAATTCATTCTTATGGTGCAAAACATGAAGTTATAACCACCACTCGAACAAGCACTAAAGCGACCGAAACCACACGAAAAAAAAAATACAAATAAAAGAAAAATAAAAGAGAGAAAAATGCTCAACGTAATTAGAACCTGGTGAAAGCGAAATTCAATAAACTGCAATAACGCAGAGCGCAAAATCAGAATCGCATCATCCGATCATGAAAGAACCCAAAACATACCTTCATCTTAGAAATCTTTGCCTGCAGCCGCTTCAGCTTTTTTTCCTTCTCCTGTTTTTCTCCTAATATAGTCAAAAATCACGGATCGTGAATCAAACATAAAGTTATTTTCCTTTTTAAACGAAGAAAAAGAAAAAGAATGCAATTAGACATCGTTTTTACTTTGGAGATCGAATCTGTGCTGCTTCCTCCTGTTCTCTAAGTTGTTTTTCTTCGACATGCCGCCCACTTCAGGATCTCCTTCGATCAAAAAACCCTAGGGGCCAGAACAGTCGTTCGTCTTAAAGAACCTTTCTGCGTTGAACAAATATTGCGTCCGGTTATACCAATAAAATCACCCAAGAGGTGATAGAAAAATTTTAAAAAAAATCCATTTAAACACAAGTGAATATTTCTCCTATATTATCCTGAATTATTCAAATATTATTACGATTATATTTATATATTATTATATTTTTTAAAAAAATTTATGCTATAATAACATAATAATATATCAATAATACCACAATAACACATGAATAATGTGTGATAATATTGGAGGAATATTCCTGTGTTACTGGGTCGGATCACAAGAAAACGAGTTTTTTTTTTTTTTCCTTTCAGCTTCACGTGGAGGTGATTCATTAAACTCAGGACGTAGAGAACGTCCGGAGTCCGGACGTAATAATTTGTACATACTGCTGCTTACACCGTGTCCAGAGGAGGTTCCTTAAGATAAATGGTTGTCTGATCTAAATCTGACGGTTATGTGGACATACAATCTATGCATCATAATATTTTTTTGGTTCACATAATAAATATTTCTCATTTATAATTAAAAGCATTTTAAGTTCAATAAAAATTTATATTTAAAATTCACTTGAGTTATTTTTAACTTATAATTATAATTCAGCTTTTATTTCTTTGCAAACTCTTTTGAGACAATAAACTTAATATTTTTTATAATTGTATATATTTTATAAACTAAGTGAATTTAAATTGGTTTAAATAAAATTAATCGTTATTAAATTTAAATAATAATAATTAAAATTCAAATGATAGTAATCCACTGCATTTGGAAAATTTAAGCACATACCCAACAAATTTTATGTATTTACATATCTAATATCTAAAATTTCATATTTATATTTATAGCATTAAAAGATTGGATGATCTATATTCTATCTTTAGTATGATGGAACATAGACAGTATTAGAACAATTCCATCAAAAATCCTGAATAAATTTATTTACATTTTGACAATTATTAGCGTTAAAATTGTTGAATCAAAAAATGTTTGGAAAACACGCCCAAGATATAGGAGAGAGGGAGTACACTAAAGAACATTAAAAGAGAGTGTTGCCCTTTTTTTTTCATGATACAGTTCTTTAATTTATTGGCATAAATCTCAGTATTACAAAAGTATACATTAGTCCCCTCATCATTGATTTCTCAGAGGAAATTTTTGGTAATTTATGAAGATATTTGCATATAATAAAATTAGAAGACTGGTTCGATCGTTAGGAAGTTCCCTGGCCGCTTACTGAGCCATAGCTTCGTTAACATCTGATCCGAGAGGATACTCCTTGTCGATCATCCTGATATCCAATCACCACCTTAAGAGAGATCCCCTGACACGCTCCACCGATCGCTCAAATAAGGTGCTCCCTTCGCTGGTGTCCAAACCAATGGTTGATTACGAGTTACGTCTGATCGCTCATATCTTCTTCCCAAGTCGTCCATCTGTCATGCGATTCGTACCAAAATATTTCTCATATACATATTTAGTTCACTGATTATCTTACTAGAAACTGCACAACACATAAAGATAAGAGAATATTTTTAACATGTACAACATATTTAAATGACATTATTTCGCAATAATGTACTTCCCTGGATTTACATGCCCGAATCAATATAAATAGGTCTTGAGGTAAGGAAGGTTTGCGCCAGTTTCATTTCTTCCTGATTCATTGTTTTATGTTGTTTTATCTATGTGATTATCGTGACGTCTGGTGAAGGAGCATCGTCTGTCAATAAGAATATCATCCCCAAAGCCATGAGTGATATGCGGGCAAAGGCTCGTAAGTCGAACGTGAATCACAAGCATGTGGATGAAGCTTCCGCTGAGGGGATGAGTAGGAAGAGAATTGTACCTAAGTTATGGACCGGTGACAATGAGGCTCGAGTTGGTTTTTTTTGTTTCCCTTTGAACTTGTCTTTGGAGAGGGTTATGGAGCAGGTTAGAGGTCGTCCTGACGATTGTCCTACAGGGCACTCGTTGGAGGTGAATGCTCCTGCCAGAAGCGAGTTTGTCCGTTCAGGTTGTCGTGGGGACTATGGTTCCCAGAGAGGTTCTGAGAAGACAGCGACCGAAGCTAAGACATGGTTTCGATCAACAAAGAACTATCTTTTCTCTGATGGTGGAGAACTAGGGAAGGCAGGTGAGCATGTTTTCTTACACCACATATGAATGAAAGTGTGTTTTGGGTATTTACATTAAATTGCCTTTTGCATCTTTTTTTTTTGGCAATAACCAAAATCTTGACCGTCGGTACTGTATCGATAGGTATTAATGTTAACCGAGAGGATGACGTGATTGTTGTAGACCAGGTTGCGACCGGGGAAAAAATACATAATAGGTGGCTGTAGAGGGAAAGGATATGGCAAATTAGGATGTATTATAGTGAGGTGTTGAAGATCAGGGTGTTAAGCCCCGTGCTGAGGAGCGAAGGATGGAGAGGCACTTATCTCTCAACGGGGGTCAAAAAGTGGTGTTTCCGTTCGTTTTTCTCTTTTTTTTATTTAAAAAGAAGTCGTCAGTTTGTCGATCATCGTATACTTCCTTTATTCGAATAAATCACCCTCCTGAATCATATCAGTGATTCGAAGAGGGGAGAAACCGAATAATAAGGGACATATGACAAAGAGATAAACAAGAGAAAAAGTAAAACGTGGAGAGCCTACGTGCGATAAACCTCGCAAGAATATGTCAAGAATGTCTGCCCAAACAAGATTGGGCGGAGACGCCTTAAACCAATATCCGCAAAAGAAATATCTACGTAGACTACCCATAACCAGAGAGTCAGGTGTATGTACATTTTCTGGGGTCAAGGCACTCCTAGAGGAACGTGTTCCTACTGCTTAATTACGTCATGTAGGATACCCAAGAATACTCTCGATAAAAGGAGTTTTGCTTATATTATCATAGACCTCGGGTATAGGCAATCAAAGGAAGGTTATTCCGTGTGGGAACAGTCTCGATGCTTCAAAGCTCACGCTAAGCCATCAGGCAGAAGGTGAGTCTCTCACATCCCACATGGGTAGCGTCTAATCAGCACACGGGGCCCACAGAATAACCTAAATCATCTTGACAGGGATATCCCAACACGTCAAAGCACGTCCGGGCCAAAAGGGCAGATGACAAATCATCGTATCCCGAATGGGCGGTAGCTCATCAGTATCAGGTCGTCAAGGTGATATAAACGAAGTCAAAGAGCGACAGAGATCGAAGGGGCTCAACAAAAAGGAAGGTAGAGTGATCCTAAAAGGTAGAGGTAACTAGGTCGGGGTACCAAGGACCTGTCATACACAACTACTACGACCCTAAGTCAAACCGGTCGTGAAGGTAGTCGACCCAACACGTCCTGCGATTCCCGGTCAGCAATCCGTGAATTATGTCATCCACAGGAACCTCGATAACCCTAATTTCAAATGAAGGAAACTCTATCCTATGACTAAAAACTAGAGCTCCAAGAGGTGGGACTTATATCTGCCGAAGCAGTAAGGATGCCTCAAGAAAGAAAGATAAGTGGAGGTTCAGCTACAAAGCTGAAAAACATTCCAAACAAAAGGACATATACCCCATCTGAGTCGGGGAGCCTTCTAACACTCTAGACGCACTAGACAACCACCTATATGAAGATGTGTTGGGCCAGTCAGGTTGGAGAAGCACGGGGGCTCCTTTTCAAGACATGCAAATATGATGCAGTTATCTACAGTAGTCCTAAAGTAATGTGGAGGCCCTATTAACATATGCCCCTATTAACATATGCAGACCTATTAACATATGCAGAAAAGTAAATGTTGCAAATTTTAAATCTTGAATATTTTAATCCTAAATTTTAATTATCTTGAATATTTTATTTAGGATTTTGTAGAAAATTAGGAATTTAAGTCGTAAAGAGTCTATATTTTATCGTGAAATCTCAGATAAATCACAAAGAAACAAGGAAAACACATGCAAGTGCAGACATGCAACATGATGCAAAAGATAAAAAAAACAAGCCAAATTAAAATAATAAACAGGTTGGTGTCGTTGGGTCGGCAACATATCCCAAAAAAGAAAAGGGAGGTCGGACTCCACATATACATGCCCGGTCCTAATTATATACATCAATGTAAAAATGTAGAGTTAAGATACGGGGCACGAGCATCTGCTCCTGGTCCCCTCCACATGTTTCCTGCGTCAAACGCCTCGAAACCCGTGGCCGTATCTTATTTTTGCCGCAAGGCTCTCTTAGACTCTGAAAGTACATAAAGAAAAGAAAAAAGACTCAATCCTGCATGAAAACAAGTGTCAGCGGGAAAGCTCACATGCAAATAACGTATCATGAGTCATGCCTTAAAAGTGGGGTGCTAATAACACCTGTAAGCAAAAGGGTTATAAATCATCACATGCTCCCCCTGTAGCGGTACATGTGTGTGTGTATATAAATAGGCATGGCTCTCTACAGCAGAACGTCCTAACACAATACCAATATGCAGCATGCAGTCACACCACAAACATAATGCAAAAGAAAGATGTCTGGCTAGGGCATCCAATCCAACAGAGAACAATAACCAAACATCAAAAAAATTACTAAGCATCCTAATTCCTAGCCTAGCACACCATCTAACGAAAAGTGCGTCAACCAAATATCTAAGTGCGGGGTAGGTCTGGGTACAGTATGACTTTGACAGGGTCGCCATACTGGCCCCATCCTAAAGATCCGATCCAAAGGATCTAAAGGGTGTCACAAAGAGTGGTGACACGAGTTAGATCTATTAGATCTTTAACACAATCATACTTGTATTAATCCCGATGACTTAATTCGCATTGCTCATCGGGATCAACCCGACAAGCAATGCTCGTTAAGGCATCACGATCAACATTGGGTCACTCTCCTAACGAGTAGGACAAGTCGTCGAGAAATGGGCAAAAAGACAATCATGCAGAAAGCCCACATTGTGAAGCCCACATTGTGACACATTGTGACTGCTCGACCGAAGTACAGGGCAATCGCAATGGGTGCCCAAAAGAGTGAACACACACCATACAAATGAATGCAAGGATGTTGCATGCAACATGACACATACAAACGGGAT